CCCTCAACACCTCTGTAAAAAAAAAAAAAAAGTGTAAAAAAACCAAAGCGCAAATACCCAGCTTTCTCTGGCTGCAGTTCACTGTGCCTTTGGGGTTTTGATCTTGCTTGTTTTCTCTTGCTTCCTCTGAAAAACAACCCCAGGGCAAATTTCTTCTGCTGAACTTATTGCTGTTTTTATTAGGGAAAAGGGAAATCGTGCACCCTGTATAAGTAGCTAAGAATTAGAATTTATTGTCAGACCAATAGGTGCTTTAACTTGAAATACAACAACTCTTCCTTAATGTTCCAGTTACAGAAATAATCCAAATCACCTGATTTTTGTTTCAGGCTTAGCCATAATACAAGCAATCCCAAGATAGCCTTTTTCTTCGATATCAAGCTCTTGGCCACCCAATGTGGAAGCACAGTGAGGTTTTCAGCATCCCGTATCCCCTGGAAGAATAAAATATTGGTGGTGGAGGTTTGCTAGGAGTTACTGTTAAATATTTCAACCCCCTTGCTTGCTAACTGGTTACACCCCTTCGTCTTTTTACTGGTCCAGAGGGTTGGTTACCTCACGGTTACGGGTTTTAGCCATTGCACAAAGCTTTGCGAAATTGAGACGGGAAGAGATTGCGTTATAGCAGAAGGTCATGGGAAGGCCAGTTATCCTTTCGGAGCTTTCTCATCCATCGCTGATATTTTGGCGATAGAGGCCATGAGGCTCTAAGGTGCCCGAGGCTGGGTATGAGTGGTACCACCCACCCTCCAGCCCTTTCCAGGGGTGGTGGGGTCCTGTGGTGCTTTATAGGTAGCTCTGCAGGTTTCTGCTCCTTTTTGTTCTATTTTAAAACAGGGATAAAATTTTAAAGGGTGGGGGGACTAGCCGAGATGGATGACTGATCAAGCCATCTAGGAAACTCAACTCCATCCAAGCTGTGGGTTTTTTCCTCCTCTTTTCTACCAAGAAGCAAGGGATTGAGAGGGTTTTTTTTCAATGTTTTTCCATGCAGGTTTTGCATCAGCTTGAAATGAAGGTGTCTTCGTGTGCTTCCCCCCATGCTTCCCACATTGCTTTACATCTCAATGGCTTCCCTCTCGCAGATCCCCTTGAATTCCACCTGGCAGAGTCTCCGAGTTGATCCAGCTGGCTTTCACCACCCTGCAGCTCTCCATGTTGCCCAAGACTTTGAACCTGATGGAGAGACAGGAGGTGAAGCAGCTCCCCTAAAAACTCTCCGTCCCCTCTCCCAAAGGCCGCCTTGGCTGGATTGGACTCGAACCCAAATGCATTCCAATAAGAATGAAAATAGATCTTGAGCTCCTGGTAATCATCCTCACTGCAGCTTGCCCCATCTCTGTGCATCCAAAGAAGAGCCTGGCCCCATCTTTCCTGTCTCACCCATCAAGCAGGACAGGCAATTCCCGGTTTGGTGAGAAATAAAGAAATTATCATTCCCATGAGGCAGGGAATGGGGCAAACCAGGATCCAGCCAGCATCAATCAAGCTCCTTGTCTCTGAAAAACACAATTCTTTTTTGAGAGAGGTAAAAGAGGCTGTTTCGGGCAACCAACCAGAGCCACGTCTGCAGTCACGTAATGTCCCCAGCGCTCAAATGCTTCCGCGATGGGGCTTTTCCAGGGCAACTCTGAGTCTTCCCATGCTTTTTCTCACCATCTTCCATCCTCCCAGCCCTCTTCCCTGAAGGCTTCTCCCACTGGGTTTAATCTCTTGTCTTGCACCTCCTTCTCCTTCCACCATTTTCTCATCTCTCTGGGTTGGTTTTTCTTTGAGCCTGTTGCTTTTGCTCCCGATGAAGGAAAGCAGCAGCAAGCCCAGCACTTTGGTTTTTCCTCCTCCGCTGCAACGAGATGGTTCAAAGTCACGTTAGCACAGCCTGAGCCTGGCTTTGCATGCAAACCATTTCAGGACTGAGAAATGACTGCAAACCTTTGGGGAGCAGGGAGAGCACAGTACCTTCAGTCTCACCACCTCTGTTAAAAAAAAGCAAAAAAACCCACCAAAACAAAAAAAACACACTCAGCTGCATTTATTCAGTTTTTTAAAAAAAAAAAAAGAAAAAAAATCCTTTTCCTGCTTGGAAACCCTTAGGTATAAAGCTTAAAGCAACCAACAGTTTCTTGAGGTGGTCTTTCACCTCTTTGCCCTGCCCATGAGCCCAAGGAGGCACCCCAATGTTACCGAATGTTACCGACATGGTAGAAAGTTACTTATTAAGGAGAAAATAATTGAACAAATTATAAATGATTTAAAGAACAGAGAAACTAATTGATCACTGACACTATAGGAGAAATTAATTGATCACCCATATTGCAGGTAGTTACCTATTAAAGAGAAATTAATTGGACAAATTGTTTAGAGGACAGAGAGCGTATCCACAAGACCTAGAATAAGTCATCGATATATTGAAAAGTACCCAACAATATTCAAACCCCCCTTGGCACATCTACAAGACTGAACTGCGCAAACTCAAGCCAAGGAGGTCACCAAGCGGACACCAGAGGACTTAAAAGGACACCTGAGGTCTTAAAAGACCCCAGAAGACCCTTCCCATAATGAACTGCACATACCCGAAGGGGAGGCACCATATGTGAATGACTTCAGGGAAAGGTAATGAACGTACATCCTGATTCAGAGAAATTACAATGAATACGTAATCAATTGTCTCCCTGTAATTTGTTCACGATAACAGCTGGGTATGCACATTAGGTGGAGCGATCGCCCGTGCATCCAGCGCTGCAATAAGGAGAATACCTGCTTCTTCATACAACGTCGGTGTTATGAGGTTTATTCCTGAGTTGAGTGACACCAAGAATAATGCTGAAGGTTCTGGCGGTTTGCATCCTGGGGAAGTGACGTCATCCATCGATGAAATTTGAGAAGAACAGGAAATTGTTTGCAGGCTGCATAACGCCTTCTCGGAGGCTAAGTTCTGGGCAAAAAGCGGCGGCTTGTCTGAAAACTGGGGCTGGCTGAGTCAGTACTGGCTGGAGCGACGGTGGGGCTGGAATGGGGAGGACCATCTGGAGAGAAATGTCTTATTTTGGGGGCTGAAAGAATCAACGAGCTAAATTAAAAGTGGTAAATTGAAGGGAGGGAAAAGAAAATGCCAAAAGTTAGTACTTTCTGGCTGGTTTTACTGAAGCTTTTGCCGCCACGGGTGCCCTCTCTCCCCTGCCTATTTTCTTGTGGTTGGTTTGAGTTTCTGGGTGTGTTTTTAATTTATTTTTTTTTCTCTGTTTTGCTGCTTTGTAAGCACTTTTCAGTGTTGATTTTTTTTCCAGCCTCTTCTAGCTGACAGGGTTGCTTGCTCTGGAAGGGAATTAAGAAAATCAAGGTGAAAAGAGGCAAATAATGATACAATAAAAAGGACTTAAATTTGTTTCAATGTAGTGGAATTAACAGTGATTTTGGGGGAGCTGGAGTGAACTGGCTGGAACGCACAGTGGGTTTGGGAGGGATAAAACCTGGGTGGGAGCTCAGGCTGCCCTGTCTGATCTCTTAATTTTGGGGTGAGCGTGTGGAAAACCATGAACCTCCATGTGGCCTTTCTTTAAGGGAATTTTGTTCAGTTTTTTTACAGTCATTGCCAAGCAGAACTGAAAGCAGAGCAGAAGTTTCAGTTTGAAAGCTTTTTGCTTTCAAGTCAGTAGTTTCATTTGTCAATCTTAACGCTTCAGCAGG